TTCAGCAGGCTGAGGCTGATACGAGGAACACTGGTGGGCTGATGCACACTGAAGTTTATAGTGCCTCCCATAAAAAGTACCTATTAGTTTTAAAGTAGTAATCCCAGAATGCATTGCAGGGAACACTGTATTCTCCTGGGCCATCTTTTTTCCCCAAACAGTTGTTTTTCCTTGTGTTTGCAGATATTGATGAATGTCAGCAAGGGAACCTGTGCATAAATGGGCAGTGCAAAAACACGGAAGGCTCCTTCAGGTGTACCTGTGGACAGGGATACCAGCTGTCGGCAACTGAAGATCAGTGTGAAGGTAGGAGTGTGGAAGACAGACTACTGAGATTTCAGCTCAGGGCTCCTTGTCTGTGAAAATGTATAGACAGTAAAGTGAGAGTGGCTTTTAAAAATTACCTAAACGATTGCATTTTACTCCCAGACCTAAGTCAGGAAAGTCCATGAAATATGAAAGAGTGAAATCTGAAGAACATGGCATTAGTGATCAGGGCCTAGGCATTAGTGATCAGAGCCTAGGCATTAATAATCAGGGCCTAGGCATTAATATTAGAAAGAAGAAAGTATACCTCTCTGTGTAATTCTGTGTCACAGAAAGGATTTTGTGGCCATGTGGATATCAGATGAGCTGAGAGAAGGGGGTGCACCATTAGATTTTACGACAAGATCATTGTTGAGGGACGGGGAATATGGAAGGCTAACTGCTAGGGGGCTGAACAGTAAATTAGTGAAAAAGAAACATACGTGGTCTGTGACACTTTAGATCAGGAGTTAGCACACTTCTATAAAGAGCCAATTAGTAAATGAGTATGTGGTGCTGTTTTCCAGGAAAACTTTATAATTATGTAGTGAGATGGATTTGGCCTGTGCCTTTTAGTTTGCCGGCCCTTGCTTTAGACTATCACAGGACTGTGCTCTTTTCCTTTTTATCAGAGGGGTGTGGGGGAGAGATAGAGAGAGGTATTATTGGCAGGGTCTCACTGTCCCAGCCTCCCAATTAGCAAGGGTGACAGGCACGTGCAACTTTGCCAAGCGAGTACAGGTTGGCTCAGGAACCCAGGCCTCCCTTGTGGTATCCACTCTCCCAAACAGTGGCACTGTCTGTGCATCACTGTAGCCACAGGCCTGTGTGCTTTTACACTCAGAGTGTTATTATTGCATTTAATAAAGAAATCCCTGTTTCGGCAAGGTGTACAGGTTACAGCCAAGTATTTGCCACTCATCACTGAACATTGAGATTAATACATGCAGGTTCTGAACTCATCAGTTACACCTTTCAGTTCATCTGGATTTTCTCTCCTAGGGAATTACTGACCTTTAACTAGAATTTCTTTTAAGCCATATAATGAAAACTCTAAATTACAGGGATACATTTGAGAGATGCATGTAAAGCAGTGTCATTTTTGTGCAAACATCACAGAGTGTATTTATCCAAACCCAGATGGTATAGCCCACTCCACACTAGGGTATCTTACGGGGTCACTGTTCTACGTGTGGTCTGTCATTGGCTGAAATATCGCGGTGGAGCACAGGATCGCAATTACAAACCGGATAGTTTATGGGTTTCCTTTATAGGCGTGGTTGAAACCATGTGACGCACCACTCCTACAGCTTCTGTGTCCTCTCTTGCTCGTAGACATTGATGAATGCCAGCACCGTCATCTCTGCAGTCACGGACACTGCAGGAACACAGAGGGCTCCTTCCAGTGTGTGTGTGACCAAGGCTACAGGGCATCTGCGCTTGGAGACCATTGTGAAGGTGAGAATTGCTCCTGGGTGCTAAATTGTAAGATGTCAGAATCAGGAGAGTTCTGGACATCATCTCAGCCTCTGTCCTTGAGGCCAAACTTCTGACTTCACAGTTGAGGATATTAGGTCCTGGCCAAGTATCCTCCCCATAGTCACACAAATAATGCAAAGAAGGGAGTAGAATCCAGGTTTCCCTGGCACTGCTGGGAGCTCGCTTGTAGAACTGTGTCAGCTGCAAGAAGGAAGGAGTTGAAGTTTACCAGCTGTGGAGAGTTTACCCGTGGTGCCTAGTGCTCAAGGATAACACCTTATTTATGCAAGGCCAACTTTCAGATATTCCAAATAAGTAAATGCAAGTTCAATTTCCAGATAATTGGAGGGTTTCTAAGAGCCAAGTTTTAATTCAGTTTTGAGCTTTTTGTATAACATGTTTCTAAAAGCTATCCCTCATGGACAGCATTGTGCGTTCGTTAGCCACTTTCATTCCCTGCCCGGACGCCAGCTCTCTGCAGAGGTCAGGGCTCCTGAGCCAGTCCTACGTCAGGAGAGAGGAAGATCTCCCAACAGGCTTCTTTTTCTCCTTTACCTCCATGTCTATCACTGTCGACTCTGTTTAGTGACAGTGACAGCTTTTATTTTTTTAAATTGCACCTACTGCTTTGCATTTATCAGTTATTTATCAGTTATGAAATCAGAAACATGCATATGGCAGAGGCATGCAGAGGCAGTTTTTGAGTGAGAGTCTTAATTGCACCTTTGAGAGAAGGGGGTGAACTTCTTAGTGAATGTATGGCACACATTTCAATGGCGCCAGATCTTTTCTTCCTCCTAGTTCATGTGCTGAGAAGAAGCCACTGTAGTTTGTGGCATCCTGAATTTCTGAACAGAGGACTTGGCGTAAGTGGTCACAAAATGTCCCTGTTGCTGCCAGAAATGTAAAATGACTCGACCATTGCAGAGGGCAGTTTGGACAGTTTGAGAGGCCTTCATTAGCCTATTGTCTATGAATCAGCTCATAAACTTTTTTAGTGTTTTGCTGTGGGGTACGTGTGCTCACCAGAGAGAAACAGAGACAGAGAGAAAGGGAAAGTGAGAGATCACCCTCTTGGGGGCTAGCCATGCCACAATCCCTTCTCCTCCAGTCTCCTCTTGGGATTTTGGGTATGCATGCACATGTGCCTGGCATGATTTTCAAGCTGCTGGGTCTGGGATTCAAACCATGTAGCCTACTGTGTAGGATCCAATGCCTTAACCTTCATGCTACCTTCTGACCTCCATCAACTTTTAGGATTTTATTTTCAGGTGATAATGTGCTCCAAAGGATTAAAAACACCACGGAATATGGTGATCAGTATACCTAAAAGAAAAAAAAAAAAAAAAGAAACAGACAGATTGGTCATATAGTGATAATACAAGAAGATATGTATGTGTCTGGAAAATAGTACTTGGGGAACTCCAAAAAATGGATACATGTTAGTGGTTCCACATAATTGCCTTCCAAGGTGGGAAGGCAGTTGTATTGAGGGGTGCCAGTTCTGGAAGAATCTACTCTAGACCCATGTAGGTGGTATGGTAGATGCTAAGGCTCTGAAAACCTAAGCTGGCCATCAGCATCTCTTCTTCCCTAATTCCTAGCTAACCTCAGAAGGTAACCAGGCCATTGATGAAGTTGCAGGTAATCAATATTCATTAGAGGGCATGTTCCTCTATTTTGGCTGTAACTATCTTAACAGAAGTTGGAGATGTTTAATCCTAAAAATTCCATTGCATGAGAAGCCTGACAAAAACATTTTAGTGAACTTGTTCTTCATTATTAATATACAGGGGCTAGCAGGTGGTTCAGAGGTTAAGATGGCTGGATCCCACACGACCGACTGCATGGTTTGTAATTGGACCTAGCAGCTGGAGAAACATGCTGGGCACATACATGTGTGTCCAAAATCCCAAGAGGAGAATGAAGGGGATGGGATTGCAGGATGGCCATCCCCCAAGGGAGGGATGATTTCTCTCTCTCTTTCTGTGCCTTTCTTTCCCTCTAGTGAGCAGGCACACACCCTATAGCTAGCTATATATATAAACATTTTTGTTTATAATAAGTATATATAGTGTTTATATATTTTTATATTATATATATTTGTTTATATATATATGTTCCACAAGAACATAAATAGATCATATATAATTATATATCATATATTATAATTATATATATTGTATATGATAAATTTTATATTCCACAAGAAAGGTTCTTTTAGAATATGTAGTTAAGTTCTTTTAAAATCTGAGCTGATTTTCCTAATAGTCTGAGGTATAAATAGCACTGGAGTTTATCCAGCTAATTTGGAGCTTCCATTGAAACTATATTAGCACTTCAGTCTACTAATCCTTCACTAGTACTGTTTCTGACCCTCCTCAGTGGTATTTGGCTGTAATTAACTGAGCTCTGATGCTCACATCCCTCTCAGCTGTGGGAGGAAGAGCCATCTTTCTTGTTGGCTTTTATATTTGCATGTGTAATTTTCCTCTAATAACTCTGGCAAAGACCTTGTTTTCTTACAGCATTACCCAATAATGCTGCTGGCCTTCTTGTAGAGTCAGAGTCCTGATGTCGTGCTCATTTCTGTATGCTCCAGCAGGCTCAGTAGTCACTCAGTCTGTGACGATGGATGGTCTCAGTGGTCCTGGTTCTTAGAACTCTCAGGCATCTCAGCCTTCAAAGGCTCTGCCTCCAACTTGTTCTCCCTTCCAGGCACAATTTTTTTTCTTTTGGCAGAAGCTATGGTGCACATGCACTAACCAGAGAAAGACCAAATAGAGAGAGAGAGAGAGAGAGAGAGAGCAAGCAGCCCCAGGAGGAATGAAACAGAGAGAGAGAGAGAGAGAGTGAGAGAGAGAGAGAGAAAGCAGCCCCAGGAGGAATGACCACGTTGCACTCCCTCTCCTCTGTTCTCCTCTTGGGATTTTGGGCATGCATGTACATGCACCTAGTGTATTTTTTTTTTTCTAAGAGAGATTTGTGCACTCGCCGAAAAGATGGAGAAAAAGGGAGAAATCACCACCCAGGTGGGATGGCCACATTGCAATCCCTTCTCCTCTATTCTCCTCTTGGGATCTTGGGCTTGCCCACACATGTACCTGGCGTGAGAGTAAGCCACTGAGTCTGGGACTTGAACTGCGGTTGACTGCTTGGGAGTCCAATGATGTAACAATTCTACCATCTGCTGGTCCCCACCCAGTGTATTTTCAAGCCTCCTGTTCTGGGACTCAAACCATGCAGTTGTTCATGTGGGATTCAGCTGCCTTAATCTCCTCTGCTGGTCCCCAGACACAATCTTTAACCCTTCCCCAACCCCTCACTGAGGTGACTCCCTGCAGGTACCTCTCAGAACCCAAGAAGATGATTCATTACTTGTTCCGGCTTCTCTTGCCCTTTTATCATGGTTATTTCTTTGTGGACAGAATTTTAAAAGGTGGGGAGAAGAGATAGCATTTCGTTTCTTCTGGTATTTCTTTCCAAGTTGAGTCATTCCTTATTCATTTATATATTCATTCAGCAAATATTTATTTAGTGCCACATATACCTTGGGCACTGTTTTAGGCAAAAACCAATACAGCTGACTTTACCCTGTTAAAAATACTTATTTTAGGACCAGCAGGTGGTGTGGTGTTTAAGATGCTGGACTGCCACATGGTCGACCTTGGTTTGAGTCCCAGACCTGGTGGCTTGGAAATCACACTGGGCACATGTGTGTACATGCCTAAAATCCTGAGAGGAGAAGAGTTTGCAATGTGGCCATCCCCTTATGGGTGCTTTCTCATTTTCCCTCTCACTGTCTCTTTCTGGCAAGAGCACATACTCTATGGCAAAGACCTTTAAACAAAACAAAACATATCTCTGTCTCTCTCATTCCGTCCCCTATCATGTTCTCTCACCCTCCCTCTCTTTCATTACAATAAATTTAAAAAACAAAAAAAAACAAAAAACAACAACAACAACAACAAACCAGTCAAACAGAAAAAAAAACAAAAAACAACAACAGCAACAAAAACCCAGTCAAACAGCCCAGCTGGAAAAACACATGAAAAAAAAAAATGTTAACCCCCTCTGGTTGAGACAGTCACTCTGGCTACATATTATGTTTTAGGGTCAGTGTTCGGCAACAAACACTTTAATCTGGGTCAACACTCACAATAACTAGTTTGTATTTTGACAGAATGAGGCAATAAGGCACTCTCTCATTTCTCTTGTGGGTGCCCTGTGAATTGCACAGAAACCAGCTCATTGGGTGATTGGATTCTGTGAGGAAAACTGAATTCACTGTATCCATGCTTGAACCAGACATCAGGGAGTTTGAGAGGGCCTGCAGTCATCTCCATACTCGCATCTTCCTGGAACCTTTCAAGCATTTGAACAGCAATCATAATTACATGCAAGAAATACCATAAAGTGCCAAAATCTGAGAAAACAAAGAAGGTTTTGTTTTTAGCTTTCTTCAGTGTTAATTTAAATCCTGCACATACACAACAGAATAGGAAATGGAGTGTGTTATGAATAATGAGCTCTGACCTGGAGTAAATGTGGTAATAGATGGTCCTCCAGAAAGAACTGCCTGATGATGTTCATGCAGCAAGAGAGTCATTCATTGTCCCATGCTTACAGTCAAAACTCATTACTAGTTACATACACCACTTGTAGTTGCACATATACTATATGTATGTATATGTGTGTGTGTGTATAATCCAAGGAACACCAACCCTGTTGATGACGGTTGTTGAGTGACTTCAATGAGACTTTTGATCTTGCTGCTCGCCCCTTCTGCAAAAACTCCCTCCTCTTCTCCACCTCCTCCACATTCTACCCTGCTTGCTGTCAAGACTATAAATAGATTCTCTTTCATGAAACTTACTTTGTTTTTATTTTTAGATTTTTGCTGTAAGGTGTGTATGCTTGTCAGAAAGAGACAGAGAAAGAAGGAAAGTGAGAAATCATCCTTCACCAAGGGGGGACGGCTACACTGCAATCCCTTCTCCATTCTTCTCTCAGAATTTTGATCACATATTCACACGTGCCCAACATATTTTTCTCAAGTCACTGGGTCTGGGATTTGAACTGTGGAGTCAGTCATGTGGGATCCAGCACCTTAACCACCATGCTACCTCTTGGCCCTAATTTGTTTGTCTATAATCCAGAGGGTACTTGACTTCACCAGACAGAGACAAAAGAAAGAAAGAGGAAGGAAGGAAGGAAGGAAGGAAGGAAGGAAGGAAGGAAGGAAGAAAATGGTCAAGCAGGGAGGGACCGTGGTGCCACTCATCCCCTGCTTTCTGTGACAGTTGAGGAACATAAGCCTCGAGGGCCTGATGCAGATGGCCAATGAGTGCTTCCGCTCAGCACCCATTCACAGAGTGCCTTTAGCGTCTCAAAGGTGTCACCAAAAATACCATCTCATCCTAATAATGATCTCTAGTCCTTAAAACAGCCCATTCTGCAGAGGAAAACCAGGCAGAAGGACCAAGAACCTGCCTCTCAGCCACAGAGCTTGCAAGTGGCAAAGCAGAGGCCTTGCACCCGGTAACCAGCCACTTTCTCAATCCCTCCCACTCCAGGAGGGGCAGGGGCTGATACTTTAGGGGGACAAAAAAAGAAATTCAAGGGAGGATGGAGCTTAGATTTATTTTTCCTTTTTTTCCCCCTCAATTCTATTTTTACGAGACTTTTCCTTAACCCAACATTTTTTCAGGTCCCCCTTCTGATTTCTCATGGGCTGGAAGCCAGGGCCCTCTGTCATACAACAGCAGAAAAATGCCCAAATGAGTCCTTGAGCAGGAAGGTCACTATACATTGCCTGGACTAGGGCAATTCCTTAGTTAGAGGAAAAGAAACTTCAGGTGTAAGCCATTCTGCATCCCACAGTGGGTGCACACCCACTATACGCATCCCTGGGAAGACCACGCACCAGAGAGAAGAGAGCTCCCGGCAGGAGAATGTGAGTCCCCGGCAGAGGCGTCATCGCTGGCAGCAGTAAGGGGACCAAAGCCTCCACTGTGCGGGGTTTCTGAAAGCCAGACCGCATCCCAGAAGGGAGAACGAGAGGGCCAAGTGCCCAGTGGGGCTATGTCCTTTACATTGTTACCAGTCAAGGACAAAAACTACTGGGTTGGAAGCTTTTTCCAGCTCTTCATATAAACCTGGAACATAAAAAAAAGCTGGTAAGGGAAAGGGGGGACACTGGAGAGGAAATGAATCCCAAGTTCAGAGGTCCCTGGAGGGAAGAGGCACCCACTCTTAGAGAATGAAGGGAAAAGGCACACCAGGATAGAGCTACCCGGATGTGAGGCATTTATATCAATTTAGCAAATGGTCTTCTCATTAGTAAGAGCTACTAAACATTAGCCTCAAATTAAATTAAGGAAGGAAAGAAGGAGGAAGGAAGGAAGGAAGGAAGGAAAGAAGGAAGGGAGGGAGGGAGGGAGGGAGGAAAAAGAAAGAACCTCCCAGTGGGGTGTGGTCACACTTCTATCCCTTCTCCTCTGTTTTTTCTTCTTGTTGGGATTTGAGGCATGCATGCCCATATTCCTGGCATGTTTTTCAAGCTGCCAGGACTTCAACTGTGTCAACCATGTGGGATCTGACTCCTTTAACTACTAGATTATAAGAGACTGGCTCAGTGAAACTTTTTTTAAACATTTATGATATTTATTTTTGCTAAACTCATGTGACCTCTAAAGTTGGTACTATTCTTTTGCCAAATGGTTACATTTCTTGACAATTTTATATCAAATTGTTCTTGGGTATATAAGGCAATTTAATCTTTTATTTATTTTTAAAAATATAATACACTTTGTTTCTTTGAATGTACATTTCTCCTTGAGGGCATGCCAAATACTCTAAAATTTTTTGCATAATGCATAATACGGGATCAAGTATAACCAGATGAAGCATGTCAAGTATGCTCAATATATAGTTAACAATTATGTATAATTGATGCATAATAATTGCATATTTATATGAAAAAGGAATTTAACAATATTTTATAAATATTTTTGCTCTTTATCATGAAGATTGTTCATTATGGAATTTCTACTTTTTCTCTTATTAATTTCATCAGATGTTTAAAACTTCTCTTTATATGTTGCTCAAAGCTATGTCTTGGGACCAGAAGATAGTGTGATGGCTATGTCGCTGAACTCCCATGTAGTCCACTGTGGTTTGAGTCCCGGACCTGGTGGCTTGAACTCATGTGGGCGCATGTGCGTGTGTGCCCAAAATCCCGAGAAGAGAATGGAGGAAAGGGGATTGTGGTGTGGTCATCCCCCATGGGGGAGGGGTGATTTCTCACTTTCTCTCTCTCTGTCTGGTGAGCGCACGCGCCCTATAGTAAAAACCTCTCCAAAAAAAAAAAGAAGCTATGTCTTTTAAAAATGTCTCATTTTTAAAAACTCTTAGACTGCCACTCATTTAAAAACATGTGTTATAATTATCTAAAATAATGTAGTTATGTGATTTTTGTGTGTAAAGAGAAAAAAGTCTAGCTTTTTAATAATATATGTTATTTAGTTTTTCAAAGATTTTTAAATTGGTTTGTAGATATCAATGAATGCTTGGAGGACAACAATGTTTGCCAGGGAGGAGACTGCATCAATACTGAAGGGTCGTATGACTGCACTTGTCCGGTTGGATTCCAGCTAAATGAACATAAGGAATGTCAAGGTACATTTTTTTTTTCAGTCATTATTTACCTAGTTTTTCAGTTTTGCAATGCTTTTCTGAGCCTGTGGTTTTGTCACTTAATTTATATATACAGAATCTATGTCAATTTGTATTATTAAAATGTTTTTCTTGGATCTGAATGACGTATAGGAAGTACTTTTTTCAAGTACAGGATATACTTTGTTTGGCATCATGTCCAAAGCTCAGGTGTGTCAGAACCGTGTCCTCAGTTTGCATGGTTTATGTAAAACAGATATTTTCCTTCCATTGGCCAATCTTGGTTCTAGCTTCTGAATTATCTTTTAACTTCATTTATGTCTTTCATAGGCATACTTTATTTTGTCTCCGCACTGAAATTTTCTGACCTTTTCCTGATCCTTCTTCTGATCTAGTACCCACCATTGTTATTTCCTCTTCCTAAAAAGCCTCACTGATAATTTGGTCACGATTTTATATATTTTTAAAAAGTACTATCACATTCAGTACTAAAAGAACTAATAAAAACACAGCAACATAACTCACATTCTAACAGTTATAGCAGTTTTAATTGAGGATTACTGTGTGCTGAATTCTGTAGGTTTCTCTGTTCACTCTAACCAAAACTTAAAAAGTAGATCATTTGCTCTTACACGTTTTGTTATACCCGACTGCCCTACAAGCTTTTCTGTATTTATTACTCTTTAAATATCCATGCCCATTTTTCCCATTAAAAAGTCATGCTTACATTTACCTTTATAGTGATTGATTTTTGATATTTGAATCAATTTTTTTATTATTTTTCTACCATTATAGAACTGTGTAGCATATTTCAAAGTAAAATCAGTAAAAGATTGTTGGAGTTGTTTTTTATCCACAACTACTAAACGTGTGATTTTTTAATTTAGGATTGCCCTAAATTATGATTCATCTCACATGTTCCAAATTACAATATTCTTGAAGGAGAGGTTGGTGTCTACTGTCTAAATATGGTACTGGAATAGTAGTATACCCTACCTGGTCACTATCCATACCCAGCTGTGTGTCTCAGGGTTATAGACGTTTGAATAAAAAGTCTTTTAAAATTAATGCCCTTAAACATACTGCCATGTACCTCATTTCATATCACATTTGTATTTGCCATTATGATACACTGATGCAAGTTTAATGATTTTAAGTTTTTCAATTTGCCCATTGTGGAAATTAAGTGTCCTTGAATTTAATGTGGTAGGGAAGGAACATTTGAATTATAAATTTATGTGAGAATATTTCTGGTTGGGAAGTTTTACATTTTAACAAAGTGAATTCTGATTTATATAAAAATGCCAAGATATTTAATTAATAAATAAATTACCTGAATCCTTTATTATAGACTTTTTGGTTGAAAAGCAGCAATTTATTTCTTTCTTCTCTCTTGTCACATTTTATTTTGGCCAAATAGAAACAAAACCAAATCTTAGTATCTAAACAGACAAAGATTTCATGTAGCAAATTTTGAAATTTAACGTCTGCAGTTAAATTCCAGAGAACTAAATAAGGTATCTGATTCATTAATTGCACTGCTGTACTTCTCAATACATTAAGTATAGTTCAGTAACAACTTTGACTGCTCCAAGCATATGGAATTTTATCAACTATCAATCATTATTGAATTCACTTTATTCTGTCACCTTTGTTGTTCTTTTCCAGAATAAATTGTCTGTTTGAAAACTGTAAGTTCAAACAAATGAAAGGCATTTTTGAAGCAGGTCTTAGTACTGCTTAAGGAATAATGTCTCTAAATCTGTCCTGTTTCCTTCTTTGTGGAGATGTTTGTAATGGAATAAGTACTCATCTTGTTTTAAATGATCTCTTCTGCTCTGTCATGGGAGGCCACTTCATGATCTTTCATTCTGCCTCAAGTTAGAATTCTACTTCTCACTGCTCCCATGATCATGCCGGCACTCTACAGATAGGTGTAGATTTCAAAGTTTGTGTTAATGCCAAAAATATGATTAATTGACAGTGCTAATAACCATGGGGCATATTTAAATAACAAACTGTGACAGGCACAAACACTAAACCTTGCCTAATATTCTGAAAACAGTTCCATATTCAATCAGGCATTTTAAGTTAGGAGTCTATTTAAGATCCCCCCGGCAAGACTAATGATGGAATACAGACAGTATATCCAGCAAATTCCTTGTTAATAGTCTCTTTAGGAATGTGTCAGGATACACTGGAGATTCAGAACACACTTCAGTTTCACATTTTGACTTACACATGCCAAGCTGTGAATTTCTGTGGGATCTCGGACCCATGAAAGAAACCCAACTTAAATATAGTCTGGCTTTCAGCTCCGAGTCACTAGCAGCATAGTTTAGAAATGCCTCAATAAGTACAATTCAAATTGAATGCATATGTTTCTTTAGTTCCAGATAATCATGTAGTTCTTTCTTAGCAGTTTCCTGGAAAAAAAGTCTGGGCATTCGTCTTCAGTTCCTGTCACCAAACTTTTCAGACAATTACTTGTTGATCAGTGACTTCTTTTGAAACAAGAACTTTGTACCCATGAATTTTCCATGCAAAGTTACAAAGCAGGCAGCTTTTAAAGGGTCGCACTGAGGCATAGGACAGAATGAGGAAGAGATCTCAGCTGCTAGGGCTTGGCAAGATGGATATGGGTCTTGGACTTGATCCTTAGGCCAGTGGGACTTGATGGAACTTCTTTCCAGATAGAGGTGGCTCTGAGCAGCGGGTTTGGAGGAAAGAATGGAACCAAGGACTCAGAGGAGGTCAGATTTGTTAAAAGATCTGAAGTCTTACCAAGAGACAGAGAGCAAACATAGGTGGTTTCAGAGATTTTATAAAAGCAGTGAAGAAGTCCACACAGGAAATCACATTGAGAAATGAATAAGTAGCTGATTCATTGCTTTTCCTTGAAGTATTTGAAAATTAGTGACAATAACAAGAGCGAGAAGGTCATTAAGAAAATATGAGTGATTCTTACTGGTTTCTTATTTTAAATCATCAGTAGGTAGGCCAAATGATCAGGATTATACAGCATGTGTAAGGGTGAAGAGTTCAGGATTTATAAAGAGATATAGATCAATTAGTAATGCCGGAATTTTTGTTAGATCACCAGGGCAGAGCGAAAAGTTGCAGGAGATCCTGGATATAGGTGATTTTATTGGGGGAGGAGAACCACAGGGTCGGTGTAAGCATTCTCTGGAAGTCTCTATCAGGCACTCATGATCTCTACCTTTTCCCTGCAGTTATTCTTGTGGATTCCTGCCTCTCCTAGTATACTGTGAGCTTCCTGGTGGCAAGGGCCCGTCTTATTTATCTGCTCTTGTAGCAAGCCTTAAGCAAATGTTTTCAATTTATTTAAAGATGGACTCTTAAGAGGATTTATTGAGGACCTCTAGTAAGTGGTAAAGGATGGTCTATGAGGCTTCATGAAGATAGGAGCTACCATCTCGATGGTCCTGAGGATGGGTAATTGTCTCTGTGACCCTAATTAATGAGGACCATCACCAATCACTGTTCAGTTAGTAGAGAATGTGCATAACTGAGAATTTTGGTGACTCAACATTCATAAAACACATCAATGTACAGTATTAGGAGTTTGTAACTCAGAGTTAAAGTATGCAGTTCTGTTCCTCAGGAAGAAATCAGTATAATGAGAGTCACAGATGCGTAAACCAACAGGTTCAACATAGTGCAAATAAGCAACTGTATGCACCAGTGCCATTGTGAACAGGTGGACGAGCCTCGAGGAGCTGTTTGTTATCATCTTGGGCACTGTGAGCCAACATAATTAGAATGGGTTTACAGGAACAATAAGCGGGACATTCCATATGTTACCAGTATTCAGGACCACCTCTTGACCCTGGCCACCAGGTCTGTAATTGCTCACATTGAGGGCAAGCAGAGTGGAAGATAGCCAATGCAAGTTTAACTACTGCATGGTCTGTTCATGAGTCTTCATAACCTGAGCTACGGCTCTCTGACCCTCGTTGTGGCTTAGGCACTATGCTAATATTCTGCTTTCACTCACTTATTTCATCATCACAGAGCCTGGCAAATAATAGGAACTTTCCTGGTCTTAAAAGACCTTGTTTTTCTTGTATTTTTACTTCCATTACTATTTCAACCAACTATTGATTGGAATCTGTTTTATTAATATAGTCAGCAAACCTTTGTGGAGTGCCATTTAAGGGTCAAACACTTGAAGGGAGACACATCCAGCCTTGCCCTTAGAAGTGTACATCCTAGGGATCGAAGGGCAAGGGTGTGACAAGTTGCCTGCACCCAGTGATAATTGGGTATAACAGACTTGAGAGCACTCAGTGGGACTTAGTGGGAGAGGACAGGAGAGGAAAAAGGATTTTCAACCAATAAAGACTATTTCTCAAAGTTATTTATCGTATTAGAATGTTCTTCAAGTCTCCAATATGTCTAAATTAAGAACCAGCAGATGGTGTAATGGTTACATCGCGGGACTCCCATGGTTCAAGTCCCAACCCAGTGTCTTAAAACTTACACCAGGCACATGTGTGTGTGTGCCCAAGATCCCGAGAGGAGAATGGAGGAGAAGGGATTGCAGTGGCCATTCTCCCTGGGGTGGGCAGGGGGAGGTGATCTCTCTCTCTGTCTCTCTGGCGAATACAGGTACCCTATAGGAAAAATCTATTAAATAAGAGAGAGAGAGAGAGAGAGATAGCCTTTTGTTGAACCTATGGAATTGCTATTTTTTTATTTGTCAAAAATGGCTGGGCATTGACTGTTTCCTATGAATCAAACTAAATAGTTTTTCTTTCATGACAATTCGGTTTGTTCTGTGGTGTGTTATATGGACAAAGAGAGGAGTTGTGCTACATACATTAAAAAAGAAAAGTCTAGCCATTTTGTAATCGACTTTCCTTACTCTTATGACTGAGACCCTGTGAAACTCTCTCTTACATTCCAGATATTAATGAGTGTGAACAGCCAGGACTCTGTGGGCCTCACGGGGAGTGTCTAAACACAGAAGGTTCTTTTCACTGTGTCTGTGAACAGGGCTTCTCCATCTCTGCAGATGGCCGGGCATGTGAAGGTAAGATAAGCCATAAGAAATCATATGTTACTGTGTGACAAAGCAGAGAGGAGATTGGTTTCTACTTAAATAGGCAAAGGCTAAGATGCTAAAGAGATGCTCATAGCTCACAGCTTCAACACGTTACATCAAGGTGATTGATACCAAAAAGCGTAGCTCAGGGGTTGCTGGGATTTACAAAGAGGATAACCCGGGGTTATGATGGTAAAAATACTCACAGATGATTGCACTACTGGTGCTAAATTAACGAGTTGGAATATGCAGAGGTTGACGGTTCTAGGTGTGTGCAGGGAGAGACTTAAAAGAAAACTGTGGCAACTTCTCTGTTGGAACCTGGGACTCTGTTTTGCTTGTATTTTTTGTCTTGTAGATCATCCTGATCATATATATATATATATATATATATATATATATATACACATATATACACATATATATATATATATGATGTCCTGCTTTATTTTTATTTCTCTGTACTACTGTAAACAAGGGTTTTCTAGAATTATTCTTCTAATATGCTTATCTCTATGGTAATGTGTTTTTATCTGTCAGTATTCATTATTTGTAACCTCTGTATGTTTGCAGGGGTATGGCACTGGTTATTTTGATAAGATTTGTGCTCTTGATGACCTAGTATTAGTAGGTAATAATTCTTGAGGGATAATTCATGGGAACCTTTTTCAAAGTAAAAGAATGCTGTAATCATAATTTTTGTCCATCTCTTTGAGAATCTGGGTTATCAAAACCTGGCAGCATTTTAACAAAGTAAATTGCCCAAGTTCTGTTCCTGGCTAAGTTAGTACCCAGATTCTTTGCCCTAAAAAATAGTGCAACAGGAAGTATCTGCTCTTCTCTCTAGTACCACTGTGGAACCAAGCCGAAGACTGGTGACTAGGTTCATCTGAAACTAATTATTATATTGGGAGGAATAAACTGATCTTATAAAAAGGAGGAGATTGCTGAAATTGCTCTCCTGCTGAGCAGACAAAACATGGATGCCAGAGTTGGCTTCAAGTGGAAGAAAGATAGTGCAGGATGGGGTTTGAGCTAACAGATTCAGGGGTTTGGAAGGGATCAAAAGTTGGGAATTGGAGGAAAACATCATAATAAAGTGGGCGATGAGAGATTTACAAGGAATCCATGCTTCAGTGGTTTGAGTTTTATGTTAATTTTATATTTAGAGCTCAGAGACCAGGGCTTTTTGAAAAGACACTGCATGAATGCATACATTCTTCTAGAGGGATTATGGTATTCCCTAGCTGAGGGACAGGATGCTAGCACATCTGAGTTACTAAAGCAGATTTGCAGAATCCCTGCATTCCCCCAAGAGGCAGGTTTGCTTCTTAGATTAGCTCTAAATCATGCATAGTAAGACTTCCTTCAGTGAAAAAGAGTCCACGTGGTAACTGTTGATGGTTGTGCCATGCCCAAGCTACATTCAGAAAAAGAATGTCCCCTCAAGTGCTCACCAGTAAAGCGGTTATTCCAGAAAAATATCAAATGCAACTATCAGGTTGTCGGAAACCTTGTGTTGTGGTTTTCTATGTCTTTCTGTGCACAAATGTGTCATAACTTTACTGACAACCCAATATATGTTTGCATTTATTTTGTCTTTTGTACTTAATAGATTTTTTAAATTTCTGTACCTTTTAAAAAAACCACTGTACTAATTCCTACAACTCAAAAGTTACGTAATCACTCATTTAGTTTGCTGTTAATGTCATTGGTCATACACTTGGCAAAGACTTGAGTTAAAACGTGTGTTTAGAAAACTTGTAGCACTTTGCAAACTTCTCTGTTCATTAAGTATATTCTCCTGGATATTTGATCTATATTTTCTTAGTTCAATACCTAGACAATTTTATTTGTATTAAAATAGGGGTTTTTTTTGGAATATTATGCTGATCTACGGTAACAGAATAAGAAAGATCCCTAATTATTAGGCATGTTTTTCTCTTTCTAGGATAAGCTCTGCAAGGATTTCATTTTTTTATGGGCTCACGTGAATATGTTAAATGGTCCAAATCTTTTGTTGGACTTAGTCCGAAACTTACGGCCATAGTGCTGTGTCCTGATTCTACCCTGGCTGTGGTAGAGGATAAAGCCAGCTCATGTGATCAGGATTTAGCAATGGAGCTGATGTGCACGGTGTCTGGACTGACACTGAGAAGCTGGCACTCTTGCCACCTACCCACTCATTGCCTTGCCTTTTATCTCTCAGTTATAGTTTCTTTTCCTGCCACCACCTTTCACCCTCCAGCTAGAATTTATCTGTGTATAAAAACAATACAGAGTTCTTTCACTCAGCTCACCTTTGACATCCCATTTTACCTAATCTGCTTGTTTAAAAAAAAATTCACAAGTCTTATGCTCTTTCACTTCTTCCCCCTTTTTTTATTGTGAAATTTTGCTTCATATGAAAGATATTAGTTATTGCATTCATGAGCTGACTAGGGGTTTAGTTTCTTCAGCAGCAGCAGATCACATGTGAGTGGGAGAAGACCAGAGAAACTTGTGGCAGTCCGATTCCCAAGGATTACCACATCTGTCCCCTGGCCCTGTGGGAAAACGCCTGCTGCTCTGTGGCTTGCAATACTTCTCTCCTATGCCTTCTTCCATTCTACACGGGGCCAGGTGCCACTGTGTTCTCCCAGTCATGTTTTTAGCTGAGTTCTTGGATGACTACCATGGGTTGGGTATGTCACTGGCCCTCTAGCCTATTCACATGATAAAATGGCCACATTCATCGAGCAGGGATCCCCAAGGAGTTCAGTAACACTTATGGAGCATGTGGAGCTCACAGAACTTGGGCATTGTTTCCTCCATTGTTTGCCATCCTTAGTGAGTCATGACTAAACCGTGACCAAAATCACCCCCGAAAGCCCTGTCCTTTAGAAAACATCCTTATTTGTTTATTCAACAAGTATTTGTTCAGTGTCTACTATCAAAATTTTGTGTCTGAGTGAAAAATGAAATTATATTATGTGCTTTTCAAACTAGCCTCCCATTGGCTGAATGACAAAGAACCATTAATAAATAGACAAATGGGCATAGATGGCCAGCCAAGGACCCCATTCCTCGCTGTCAGTGTGAATTCTGTCCAGACAGAAGGATAAAAAGTTTGAGTTCACCAAGCGTGAGTCCTAACATTAACTGCGGACTTCAGTCGATAATGACATATCATTGTGGGAGTCTCATCAGTTGTATCAAATGTACCACCCTGGATGTTGATAGTGGATAAGGTTGGGGGAAACAATAGGAATTCTATAATTTGTTTGTTTTTGCCATAGAGCGCATGTGCTTACCAAAGAGACAGAGAGGGTAACTGAGAAATCACTCCCAAGAGGGATGGCCATGCCACAATTCCTTCTACATTCTCTTCCTGGGATTTTGGGCATACGTGCATATGCACCAGCGTAAATTTCAAACCATTAGATCTGAGACTCGAGCTCCACTTGTTCACGTGAGTTCAGCAGCCTTAATCAGCATAATTTTACTACAAACCTAAAACTTAAAGTCTGTTTTAAAAATCAGACATATTTCAGGGCCAACAGGTAATGGTGGTGCTTAAGGCGCTGGGCTCCCACATGGCTGACAACAGTTCAAATCTCGGACCTGGAGGCTTGCTTCCTCACTCTGCCCCCCACCCCCTGCCCCAATCCTGTATGTCTCTGGTGAACGCACATGCCCTATAGCAAATTAAAAAATAATAATAAATAAAAGTAAGTAAATGATTCTTTTTTTAAAAAATCAGATACATTTCTAGCATTATCTATTTTTAAGTTGGAAAGAAAAAGTCAAAACTTTCTATGTTAATTCTGCGTTCCAATTCTCTATTTTCTTCCCCTGGATGATGATGATGTTGTTATTTCTCACTTTTCAAAATAAATACTCTGGCTTGAGTATGTGATCAGCTTCTGCTCCTAGTTTTCAAAACAATCCTATTATTGTTGAGAGACTTAATTACACAATTGGAAAAGATCATCTTGTCGCTTATAATATTTTACTCAAAGTATTCAAAGAATCGTGTCTGATTATTAAACAGCTATAGCGACTCTAATGCCATACCTTTTTAGATATTTACTATAAACCACTCTTTGCTAACACATTTGGCTAAAAGGGAAAAACATCACAAATGCAACTTGCAAAGATGGCCCACTTCTTGCACTTTATTAAGAGCAGTGATACCAGTACAATTGAAAGAAGAGAGGTTCATACTCTTATGCTAACTTTATGTCCATTGGAAGCCAGAAAACCCAGTCTAGGTGCCTTGCCAAGTAAGAAAAATAATGAATTGAGAACTTGGTTTGCCTTCAAATGTTGAGGTACATTTTCTATAGAATGAAATCATAAAGCCATCACTGACAGTGCTCCAGGCAATTAGTGGTTTTGTGGCATGGAGATAGAACTTCAGCTCAATCACCAAAGAGAAAATATTTTGTTCCGTGATTTAGCCAAGTAGGACACCAAAGTGCTCTGACACCATGATAGATTACATCTGGCAGCTTGGCCCCAAGGGTTTTAGGTTTTTGGTAGTTTTAGGATCTGAAACTGAAAAATATACTAAGAGAATATTACTTGAGTGGGGGTTTTTTTTGTTGGTTTTTTGTTTTGTTTTGTTTTGTTTTTTAGAAAGGGTCTTTAAAAACAAGGTCTACTCTTTCC